TCAACATTTCATGAATTTCCTGAGAGTTTTTCCCAAGTTTCACCAAAAATTTGATGTTGAGTCGTTGTTCCATCTGTTCATCAATCTCCATCGTCGACAAGAGCAAAAAAAGGGCGCCACAAAAAAATTCCGCCTCTAGCTGTACGCTTGCCTCGACGGTCTGACGGTTACTGACGCTTCAGTGGGTCCCTTGCCAACAGAGCAGCCAGGGCGCATGTCGAAACATCACCTCAAGGCCACCTTAGTAGCTAAGTTCGCGTATTTATTGGACAGGCTACGTACAAGGTTGAGAGGAGGAGAAACAAATACAGGCCAGAGTCCGGATCTGACCAGTGGCGGATACAGATTGGGGGGGGGCGACCGCCTCCCCTATGGCCAGGTTGGCATTTGATTTATTTATTCAAAATAGTATCTGCATTACATTTTATTGGAAGTAGTGAAATAGAAACTCAAGTTCTTACCCCAGACGAAAAATAAAAAAGGTGAAAGGAAGAGGAATAATGGTAGGCTGGGGGGAAGGGGGGGGGGTAGGAACTTGGGAATCGCCCCCCCTATGAAAAATTTCTGTATCCGCCCCTGGATCTGACTTGCGAGACTTCTCCACTGAGTCGACCCGCGGGCCTTGTGGCCCGCCTAGACGACTTCTCTCCATCCCGTGGAGGTAAAGCGGAGAAAGGAAATGAATTATTCCATGTGGACGGCCCGGCCTGGCCGCTCATGTACAAACCCATAGCTCGATGGGGCCCCTATTCCGCCGTCCAACCAATCGAATCGCGTACAGCGTTATAGCGACTTTGGCTGGTCCCTTGCGGTCATCGGTGGGAAAAAGGTGATGTATGAAGCCTTCTAGCCCTGATCCATTCCCGCAAGCGGACGCTTCTTCGTAAAGATTCTTGTTCTCTTATGAAAGGATTACTAAGTACGCCAGAAAAAAAGTCTTGAATAAGAAGGAATGGTGTTAGGATCTCTTACAAGAACTTAACAGAGAGAACAGACTCATTCGATTCTCGCTTTCCTTCTGTCTCCTTCCCAATGCCATCACAAATGTTGATGCGAGCCTGTTACTGCCTGGGATGACCGCGCTTCCTTCTCTTTTGAGAAGAGGGCTCTCATATTGGTTGGAGGGCAGGATAGGGGCCCCACCGCGCTGGGGGTTTTTTACATACGCGGACCCGCACGGACCTCTCCACGGAGTCCCAAGCCCAGTAGACTGTCGGGCTGCCTGCGGGCCCGCGGGCCGGCTCACTCATCTCCATCTTAGACTTCCAATTAGCTCGAGAATCATTGAACTCGGCAACTGATCTGCCTACCTAACGACACGCTTATGAATTAAATACGGCACTCTAATTAGGCAGGGAGGAATAACTTCACTCAAATTTGATCAGCAAACACAGGGCATTGCTGTTCAACCTGCCCCAACCTTCAATTCATCCTGTTTTCATACGTATTTTTTGTCTGTTTCACGCGTTAGCTGGAACTCCTAAATCCTGAATCTGGGTTCCACCATTATTGAGCAAATGTTCCCGTTTTCGTTTCATAGCACCAGTTGTAATCATTTCCCCGGATGTTTAGATCCCTGATGCATAATGACTTTACTTAATGATGATGTGAAGTGACGTTCGGTTTGTATTGCCAGATTTCCTGCAAGCCTGCCTGAGACCCGATAACGATGGCGATTCCTGGAACGCATCAGCATCAACGACGATGACGATTCCCTCCCCTGTGAAATCATTCGAAGGCTCTTCAGAAACTGGTAGGCCTATGTCACAGTTAGAAAAAGTCACATATGGCCTATTGTGAGGCCTTGGTGAAGGAATTTTAAGTGACTTGTTTCATGATTAGAAACAAGACCCATCCTTCCATTAAGATGCTCAAAAGCCTCTTGTACGTAGCAGAGCTTTTAACCTCCGCATTACTGGAAGTTGACTTGCTCAAAGAAATATGTTCAATTGTAATGGAAGCCCATTGTTTCTACCTGGAAAGTGGCACTAGTCAATATTTGCCCTTGCACTGTTGTAGATTTCTTGTCCTTACCTTCATAAAAGACCTCAGAATACCATTATTTGGAGCTTGTAGGGTTTAAAAAGTAATTTGCTAAATTAGAATAAGAAGTTGAAGTTTAAAATGATGTTGAAATTTGATTTCTATGCAAAGGAGGACCAACAGAAGGCAACAGAGAAGAAACTTTGAATGCATCATTCTCTCTGGTAGTGGCATTACCTTCCCCAGTTACATCATTCAGCATGGTTCAGGGCAAAGCAGGTAATTATTGTCATGAAAAGGTGGTATTGGTGAACCATGTTTTGCTATTACATATTGTGATGATTGCAGGTGAGACCCATCCAGCAGAATCTAACAACTCCCTGAATCAGAGTGTTTCTGATATCCAAGCTCTGCCATCTCCCATTTGTATCATTTGATGAGGCACCATTTGGTAAGCAGTTCACATATTGTTTCCAGTGCATTCCATAAAATGCCTGAATTGATTCCCTGACTTTTCCTTCAATCTCCCCTAGGACACGGACACAAGGTACCAGTGCACTTGGAACCACCCTCCCCCCCCACGGTGTGAACTGGAACGATCTGGAAGACTCAGTCCGAATCCTTCATTCTCCAACAAAGAATTTCTCAAACTTCATGGAAATGTCAACATACACAGTAGCACCTAACACTATGAGAAACACTCCACCTATTTGGGTAAGCCATGAAAGTACTGTATATCTTTGAAACAATGTCATCTGGATTTTAGAAATTGGTACAAAATTGGGGGGAAATCAATAATCAAGAAAAATGTTCTTGGCAAGATTTTTCTGTTAATTCATTGAGTTCATGTTGCGCAATGTGACTTTTTGCAGCCATCTTTTATGTTATTTGTTTCCTGACTTTTACAGATGAGTGAGGTGAGCTGTGAAAATTTTGGGATTTTTGATGATTCATCTGATGTCATTGGTAAGTCTTATGTGTAATCATAACCATTGGATCCTTTCATGTGATTGTCTTGGGAGGAAATGCTATATTAATGGAAAAGATTGCCTTGTCGTCTACTAATGTGATATCTGCAGATTAAGAAGGGAAGAATTTGTGCTTTGATATTAAGAGAATAATTTCCCAATTGCTTGCCATTTTTTTTATTCTTCTATAAACTCTGTGACACTCATATATTTATGAGAACAAAAAATGTTCTTTTTAGTTATAAACCAGAAAGCCCTACTTGAGAATGGTCCTAAATATTGTGAAAATCACCAGTAGTATGTCAATCCTGTTTTTTTTTATACATATAATTCATGAATTTGATCCTATTTATATTGTTCTTTGAAGTGATGCATGATACTTTGACAATCCATGGGAAATTCCACTGATGCCTATGATTTGAGGTTTCTGTTTTCATCCATTAAACTGGCTGCAAATTACATGTCTTTTTTTGCCTTTTATTGACAGGGTGCAGCGATCCAATTATGCAGACCACAAAGTTATGGCTCTCAGAAATGATGATTGGCTCACAATGGTGATTGATGGTATGGACCAAGTGAAAACAAACATACCAAGATTTTCCAAGGAAGACAAACACATCACAAGCTTACCGAAGATCATCACCCATATCACTGGTGATTATCATCCTTTTTTAATTTCCTTGGTTGTTTCTATTCATGGTTATCAAAAAATTTTATGCAGAAATATGATGATGAGGAATTCCCCCCATACCTGCAATAGATGCAAATGACCCACCACCTACAGATGTAGTGATTTCTCATATGATATTCATTATCTGAATTTTCATGGAATGAAATTGGCCCGAACCCAACTTGATGCCAGGGGGTTTCTTTCCCTGCAAAGATGGGCTATTGATTACACTCTCATGAAATGCCCTAACCTTATACATTAACAGCCATATGAAATTCTGACATTTATTATACTATGCAGGAGTCATGGTGTATACTGGCAAGGGTATTCGAGAATTCGCCTTTGTAGACATGGGGCAATTTCCACATGATTCAAATCTATGTGTGGAAGTCATCTCCACACTCCTGCATGTGAAGATGGACTTGAAGAATAAACTCTTCCTGCAGATGGATATCTGTGCTCGGGAGAACAAGAACAAGTTCATCTGTGTTCTCGCATATCTCCTGGTGGAGACTGGCATATTTGAAGAAGTTAGTTGATGTCTTCATTATACCCCTTGCTTGGAATGTAAACTTGAAGGTTGCAACATATTGGACCCCATTAAATCAATATTATTACATTGACTTCTCACCTGTAGCTTCTAAGGATGGCATTACTTAAGGCTCCTGATGCCTTTACATTTTACTGAAGAAATAAAATGGGTTAATTTTCATAATCTTGCAAAGTGGAAGTTTATCTTTGCAAATCTTCCTTTGGGGTCAAATTTTCACACAACAGTATTTAATTTGAGATATAGTGGAACTCTTTTCAAGTAAGATTTCAGGTCTCTGTTAATAGGTGATTCATGTTTTCTTTTCCATCCCCAAGGTGGTTTTAAATTTCCACTCAGTTGGTCACACCCATGAATACATATATCAGCTCTTCAGTTCCATTAACAGTTACCTGAGGACCAGAGACCCTTGCACAGTAGATGGTGAGCTTCGAGATTCAATGCTTTCAGGGTTCAAAGTATGCATTGAATGCAGCCAAATGTGACCTTGCAATGTGTATTTCATATAATTCTTGGTTACTACTAAATAAAGGACTACTAAAGAAAGGACAGTGAGGAGGCTCCCAAGGGAGGAAGGATTCTGTTTGCAATTTTCTCCAGGATGGAGATGAGTCGAATTCTTAGTCAGTCATGTATTAAACCCCCCTACCAAACCTAACTGAAGCATTGGATCATGGCTTTGTCTTTTCTCACCTCCAGGAATTCCTCAGAGATCAGCAGAGGATGCATAAGGACTCTCTTCCAATGTTTCTCAACAGGGATGCATTCACCATATCACGCTCTCCCATGAACATGAAGAATAGCATCTACCAGGTCAGTTCTGTATGTCATGTAGGAGATGACTGAGTGAATGCCTTTAAGTGCCATCTAAAATTAAGAAATGATGTATAATTCCTATCTATCCCTCATCTGGCAGATGATGATTTCATGGAGATGGAAGGTGGAGCTTGCCTACACCCAGCTTTAATCTTATTCCTGGAAAATGTGGAAGGTGGTGAACATCGTGCATCACATCTCATCTGAACTTGCAATATGTTGAAGACTTATGGAACATTTTGAACTTGTTTCAAGATATTGCAGTGTGACTCATACATTTTTTGTTCTTCATTCTGTATGCATCATACAGTATAATACCTTGCATTGAGTCTGAGTTTGTAGTGAAAATCCTGTTTCCAGAATGAATTGCTTTAATGAGCCTCAGTATTGAGTACTTGATGATTCTAATTGAAGTTCGGTGCTCCTCACTTTTCCAGTAAATAATGCTTTCAGGATTGCCAAATTGTTGATTTGAATAATTCATTTTGTTTGTATGATCTCAGACAATTAATTGTTATATATGTGCTCTTAAAAGATTATACCTGTGTTTCTCTGAACTCCAACAAATGGAGTAGGACGGACTCTGCCAATAAAATGGATCCATCATTCTGGAATAGTCTTACTGATGAAGAAACCAAAAGAGAAATATCCAACATTTAAATATCGGCCAAAGGGAAAGCCTGCCATTTGGCACCCATTACCTTTGGTCTGGAGCATGCGCACTCCCATTTTCCAGATCGAAAGAAATATATACCAAATGGCACAGATTCCCATTGGTCTATTGGATACTCGTCCCTATTATTAGAACAGGTTGGATTTTGGGTCAACTGAAAAAAATCTTTCAAGACGGTCGCCCCCATACACATTGACACTGCCATTCTCAAGTAGTATCTATGGGATTAATGAGTAATTCTCCTCTTTTCCAACCGGATATTACTATAGAAGGCATGGAGATGGTATCCATGACAATTCACATGGACCAAATCATGTTTTTGGCAGGAAGTTAGGACAAAAGCCTGAGTCGGCCAAATAAGAATCAAAAAGGTACCATATGCCTAATTGAAATATTAAAACCTTAATTGAAACTTGTTTAAGGAGAAAATATATTTTCTAGGATACAAGATCTGTAAATATAAGGCCATAACTCCTCGCACGGACGTTGAGTTCCCGAGGGATGGAGCTGGAAAGATCGTTTTCTTGGAAAAAGAAAAGATGGAGTAGAATTCCGGGGGGAGCCTACGGAACTACAGCGGTGAGGGAATGGACTTCCGGAAAAATTCCTGACTCTTAACCCCGCCGCACACGAGGCAATTTTTGTCTCGCGACCGTCGCAGACGAGGCCCCGCACACGGACGAATCTGCAAGATGTGGGATGAGCAATGCGGACCTAAATACAAAAAAACCCACCATCTTAAGATTTTAGGTCGCAATGTGATCGGTCGATGCTGGAATTTGGGCGGGCCTACGCACACGGTGGAACAGTCGTGGGACGGCTATATTTATCGCCGAAAAATTTAGCAGGAAGCAATTACATTGTCGATGATCGCTTGACGGTGGACCAACAAAAATTGTCTCGTGTGCGGAGGGCTTTCCCCAGAAAGATCTCGCAGGCAGATTGGAAGCTGTCCATCTCAAATGATGCAGGGTGTTTTAAACCGAGAGAAAATTGTGTAGATTGTCCCTGCATCCCAGACTTTATCAAAAGCTTCAGCGACATCAAAGAAGAGAGCAAGAAGATGGAATTTACCAATGCGTCATGATGGAGTGGAAGGATCTGGTCAGTCGTGCAGAGAATCCGGCTGTGAAGGAGAGAGTAGGTAAAGCCTGCCGAGGCTATTTTTGTTGCGCGACCGTCGCTTCACATGATATTGCTCCGTGTGCAGGGGTGCTGAAATCCTCTCCAAGGGTGCTCCTCTCGCAATAGCAGTGGGGAAGTTGAAGAGATGCTGCAGCTCCAAGATGGAAGACGAGGAGGAGTGACCTCCTTTCGCGAGCCGCCGTCCCCTACGTCGATCTCCTCGACAAGTCCTTCCAGGCCGGTGCGATGAGGCCTCATCGCACGGGCCATGTCGTCCCGCCAACAAGTCTTCCTCGCCGTCTGCCATGTCCGCGTCGATTCTCCACCAACCCACTTCCGCCGCAACGCTCCACCTGTGTCTTCCCGACCACGCCCGCTCGTCCTCTCACTTCATGTGTTGCCCTTTGAGTTTGATTCGCCCGCTCCCCAATGCGTCCTTCTAGAAGCAAGGTGCCTAAGGCCATGACACTGGAAATATCATCGGGCCCTGGGACTTTTTTTAGGGGAGACTTTAATATTGACCCCTATCTTTTCGAGCGTTATTTCGTTTATGAGTGTTCCTGAGCAGGAGAAAGTTGCTCGGATCGAGGAGAGAGGTCAGAGAGGTAGAAGTTAATCATTTTATTTTTGAGATCAGAGGAAGAGAGTCAAGAAGTGCCTCATTGGTACCCTGAAAACTATGCCTGTCAGCAATACGAAAATGAAATGCGGGCGTCCCCCCCCTCTGTTTTCATAGGGGGAACATCGCGCACCAGCGGGGGTAGAAACGAGAAAGAAAAATGAAGGGAAAAGCCTCGCGAAAACAACCAGACCCCATGCAGAAACGAAAAATGAAGCAGGCGAGGGGGAGGGGGGGGGGCGGGGGGAGGACCACCGACTGGGAGTGCCGTTTTGGCTATTTCGCTATTTTTGGAAGTATAATTTAAGCATTATTTTAAAAAGATGATATATTATATGAGTATGCATTTTAAAGTATACAAACATATATTATGTAAGAATAACTTAGTGTATATCATTTAAAATATACATCATGAAAATTAAATGATATTGAAAATACACAAGTACCATAAGTAAGTTTACCGAAGGATTTCCTCTAAAAAAAAAATATATTTTATGCATCAGTTTGTTTTTAAGTGTTGCCCCAGTATTATTCATGCTTATTTTTTGGATCCCACGGATGTTCGCGTTTGCTTTTTGCCGTAATGGCTCAGACTCAACAAAGCGCAAAGGACCTCGACGATCCATTAAACGGGCAAACACGGCCGTATTTGCATTCCCGTGATCGATCAGGCGATCGGCGATCGATTTCCGATATTGCGAAATCGGATCCCGTGGCTCGGTCAATATGGAGAAGGCCGGTTGCGAAATTTCTGTGGAGCATGCAAATATTTCTTTTTTCGACGGAATCCGCGAGGAGAATGGCACATCGTTTGCTTTTTTGGCACTGCCCGTCGTTTGGCGAGGAGAGGCAAACATTTCGAAGGGCGACACGAGTCAACAACCTCCTCGAGTGCTAAAAATAATCCTTTTTGCAAGTTTGCAGAATCTGTTCGCGTGGGCTTTTCTGCACATATTTGGCAAAATCGCGAGAGCAATTAGCGCGCAGTGGGCCAATGTCCGGACAGGCGTGGGTGGCCCTTTCGCGCGGACCCGACCAGTTCCGGAGAGACCCCCCTCCGGGCCCGAGAAGAAAACCGAAGATAACGGAGAACGGGGACGCGGACTCGATTCCCTTTCAGGTGCTTCGATTCCAATTCAGATGCTTCGATTCCCCTCAATGCTTCGATTCACAGGTCCTCATTGAGAGAGAACAGGCACCTGGGGGCAGCGCTTTGTCGAATTGCCCGGGAATAAATAATTAATATCGATATCGGCTATTCGCACGGTTTGAAGATCAACTTTTAATCCTTTTAATCCTTTTAATCCTTTTAATCCTTTTAATCCTCTTAATCCTTTTAATCCAAAAAAATTTCGGGGAAAGCGAAGAATTCCCCGCGAAAGGAAGCAGCAATGAAACGAAGCTTAAAGGCTTTTGTCCTTGACTCTCCGATCCTTGGTGATCCTTCATGATTCGATTAGTTTCATCATTTGACTTTAATAATTTGTTCAATCCTCAAGAGAACACTTCTTTGCTTAGTTTCTTTGCCCCCCCCCCTCTTTATTTGCCCCCCTCTTTATTTGCCCCATTTTTGGGACATGAAAAAAATGCGCATTCGCAAAATTCGAGATTATCATTTTCTTCCGATCGATCACTGCCAAGGGGGTCGGGAATCGACGCCGAGAGGAGATTCTTCAGCGATGCCTATGGCTGGAAGAGATTCTTCAGCGAAGTCTATGGATTCTCTCATCGATTCATGCAGCGAGAATGGCCGGAAATGCATTTGCGCCAAGGAACAGATTCCCCGGCTACTTTCTTCAGCCTTTCCTCAGCCGGAATCCTCAGCAGAATAATAATGATGATAATGATAATGATAATCATGTGTCTGGCAGATGGTCTCTGGCGCTTGATGAATGGTCATCAGGCGATTGCTTTCGCGAGTTGGCTTTGCGTCGTTATGCTAGATGCACTCCGGGACGCGCACTCGTTCGAGACGGAACCCTTTGGAATGCGGGGACCCGGTAATGACGCGAACGTCTTTTCTTTCCACGTTCCTGAGATTCAGGCATGTGGAAAGGAAATATTGCAAGAACTAAAACAAAATTGTGATTGATGGCAGTAATGGCAAATAATACAATAAAATTACATTGATCATGTGCAAAAATGTGAAATACTCTCAATGAGGTAAAAATGAAAAATGGAATTAATAATGAAAAGTCCAGAGAATTATTGTTCATATACTCTAAACCCAACTCCAAATTCGGTATAAATCGTAAATTTAATTATATACCACAATTATAAAGCCTCGTTAAGGACCAAAACGTGCTTTCTGTGGAAGTGGAAGAGACCAGAGTCCTAAGGAAAATTTTCCCCGGCAAAGGAATTTTTCGAGACCACGCGAAAAATAAAACTGGGGTGAAAAAGGTGGGGAACGAGGTTAAGGACGCGCTTCCGTGCGTCCGAGACCTTCATTCAGCGGTCGCTAGATGTCACTATGGGAGCTCTCCTCCGCGTTCATCAAAGAGAGCCTCGAGGCCGGGGAAGCCATCTGTCTCCATTCCCGCTGGAAGAGCCGTGCTCCCACTCGAGTGCGTGGGCCGTGGATGCCTTCGAGGACGAGGGTCGAAGGGCGAAGGTCGAACATAAGTTGGTCGCGAGGAGGCTTTGCTTGAGTCGTTTTTGTCGCAAGAAAGTCGCAAGTTTTTGATGGAGGAGGTTGGCAAGTCGGCTGCGACGTGACCGAAATCTAGATCGTTCGTTTCTGATTTGTCATGATTTAAATGCGATCATCGATCTTGTCATTGATCTGTCCCGACGAAGCGATCGGTCACGACGAGGAAGTCAGGCCATCCGTCCGGCTTCGCCGGGCCACCCGT